CATCATCTTCTTCATGCATAACATCATTCCCTTTTGCTTGGAGTACCACTGACCATCTGTCATTACATGGATCAGTTACATAGAAAACTTGTTTTGCATGGTACGCCATTATGAATGGTTCCTCCTTATGTCCTATCTTCTTAAGGTCTATCAAAGTGAATCCCATTTCATCAGTTTGAACACCAGTATTAATATCAATCCATAGGATATAATTCTTCATTATCCCATCACATAAAAGATGTTCCCGTATTGTCTCTAGTGTGTGTACTCTCCCATTAACGCAGTTAACGCATGGACAATACAATTTTCCATTAACCTTGGTGCCATTGTGTTCGGCAAATCGCAAAAATTCTTCAACTCCATTCTCATACTCTTGTGAAATACGACTTGCATTTACCCAACTTCGATCCATTTTGGAATTGGAGTCTACAAATGAGAAACCCATAAAACGATTATTACTAATAATCGTTATCTCTAATGAAATCTATACCAAAGTAGATTAATTTGTAACGAAATTTCAACAGAATTTCGTCTATTTTTTGGTCAAAACCAAATTTGTATAAATTGAAATTATAGAGTTTTCATTGTTACTACCATCACTTATATAACTACATTGTTATATGTAGTTTTCAAATTCACACTTGATGATTAATTTCTAACAAAAATCCGATAGAGTTTCCTTTGTTTTTTGGCAACAGTTTTAAATGACACAGTGAAACCTGACAATAAAAAGCCCCACGGGCATATTCAAGCAGTTCAAGTATAATTGTACACATCATCAATACATTGAAAAAAACTATAATATGACTAAGAATTGAATCAACAGTTAACGACAAATGACTAACAATCTCTACCTATGAAATGTAGTAAGTAAAATTGTATGACTTTGACCAACAAATATAAGTGCAACAACATCGTACCTGTGGTTTAAGGCAGCGATGAAGGTTCGCACCACGGAGAAACGAGCGGCCACTGCACCGGGGTGGAGGTGGAGGATGCAATGCGGCGTTAGGGTCGAGGCTGTGGTGAGCGGACAATGCAATGTGGGTGGAGGCTGCGGTGGGGGTGGAGAGTGGGCGACTAGCGTCGCGGTGGGGTGGAAGCTGCAGTGGGGTGGAGGTGCTGCGGCGGGGGTGTCACGCGGTGCGCGGTGGCGACGTGAGGGAGGGCGTCCGGAGAGTCCAAATGACGGTGGTAGGTGGTGGCCGCGATGCTGGAGAGTAAGGGGAGTGGGCGCGATGCTGGAGAGTAAGGGGAGATACAAAAATGCATATGGTAGCCTATTCAAATGGGAAAACGGGGTTTCGACGTCGGTTATACCCACACCTGACGTTGAAACTCGATTTATCTTCCAGTCATATGTTTTAATCGATTGAAACGAGATTTAATCGATTAAAATAGTTCTGATCGGTCATAACTGGATTCGATCGATCATCCTGACCCTTTAAGAGATTTTAATCGATTGAAACGTGTTTTTAATCGATTGAAAAACTTCGATCGCTCATAATTAAAATCTGATCGATCACATTCGATTTCGATCGGTCATATTTATATTCGATCGGTCATAATGAGTTCAGAAGGGTTTTCAACGTCGGGTGAGGGCATAACCGACGTCGAAAGCCTACTTTTCCACGTCGTGCATGCTAAAACGACGTAGAATGTGTCAAAATTCGACTTTCGACGTTGGTTGTTGACCAACCGACGTTGAAAGCATGTTCAACGTCGGCTAAGATGTAACCGACGTTAAACAGCGACGTTGAAAGTATATTTTCTAGTAGTAATTGGTTCTATAGGTTATACCTTGAATGATAATAAGTACTGGTATTATATATAATCATCACCTAAATAAATAAATTTTATGAATATTTTTGAAATATATATATGATATATTATTAAAATGAACTAACTTCATTATTTTGTCCTTGTCTGCTCCAAAAATAATTGCTTTTGAAGTCATTCCCAAAACTTTCTTCGATAAAGTATGAGTCTTGTTTGCTTCTATTGTTTTTCAAGATTTTTGTTTGATTCCGTGGACTAAAAATGAGACATCATTTACTCATAAAATTTACACACACACACACACACACACACACACATATATATATATATATATATATATATATATATATATATATATATATATATATATATATATATATATATATATATATATATATATATATATATATAAATAAAATATTGATGAACTCACTCATTAATTCACTAATCAATCATTTGATAGAACATATTCGAATTCAGTAACTTGTCCAAATATCTTCGTCTCATCTTATGTTATCATTGTTATTGAGGATTGTTTTTTATTCAAAATAATCCTGTATTTGTGGGAGATTCATGTTCTATTTATCAATATAATATTTTATTTTATTGAAATCAAATATATAACGCGGATCATGTTTTCCGAAGTAAACCATATAAACTTTGAAATAATATATAGTGAAAACAAAATCAATGGAGCTATTTTCTTTGTTTTTAGTATAATCATTTACAAATACTTTTTTATTAAGATTTTCCACTGGGAAAAAAATATGTTAACATTTAAGACTGATATTTTTCCTCTTTGTAATTTTGATCCATTAACTTAAGATTTTTAACACTGGCTGAAAAGGTTAGATCTGAATTATATTGCTAGCATTCATGGATCATTGAGGAATTTAACAATAATGAGTTCTTTGTGGCCCCTTACAAAGGTCCAAGAGTTAACGTTTTCAACTTTTTTTTTTCTAAATTTATTTATTTTATTTGAATTGAATAATAAACTTAGAAATATAAGCTTTATTGATTTATGACATGATATATGCCTAACTTTTTTTTTTTCCCTTTTATTTTTTTGTTAGATTACTAAAAAATAAACAGGGTATTTGTACAATTTTTGTATTCAAATGAGTGGAAATAATAACTTGTAATGTGTAAAATGGTGAAGTTTTACGTTATAGCGAAATTTCAAGCATAATCATATTAAAAAATATTTATTAATAATTTCAATTGAGTTAATTTATACAATAAATTATGTAAATAATATTTCTCATTTTTTATTTTACAATTTTTGCCAGGTAAATAAATCTAAGGCAAAATAAAGTGATCTATGGGATATATGATTGGAAGTTCTTTTAATGGAGATAAATCATCATTAATTAGCATGTGATAATCAATAAATGAATATAAGTAGCTAATAAAGTTTGTAGCTTTATTATACATTAATTACCTCAATCAATTATATTTTTTCCCCTCTTTTTTGAGGACGATGAATCATAAATGGTCACTATATTTTAAAACAATTAAATATTTGTTATAACAACGTATTTCATAAGATACACTACACTAGTAAATTAATTGATTACATTTTATAATAAAGAGAGATGAACATATAAAAGACAAAGATTTGTGATACGATGGAAATTACACCTCGTTATAAGAAACTAGTAACATACAAGTAATTAAATAAATAATATAAAACGAAATTTAGAAATGTATTTACAAAACAAATATAAAACAAACACATATAAAAAAAATATTAAAAAAAGAAGAAGATAAATGAATACTTCCAATCAGCAGATCAATGATAATTAAAGACAGACGCCAATTGCGACCTTTTCAAACAGTAAAATTCACAAAAATGCCCTCCAGAATGTTGAAATATAATAATAAGCTTTTATTTAACCTTTTTCAGTTTTAACTGAATATTCTGTCAAAAGAAAAAAGTTGTAACTTCATGTGTTTTTAATCCTATAAGTTCTAGTCAATTAATCAAGCTTCTGTAATTCTATATTAATAAGGTTTTTCCATACATAAAATTAAAATTATGTGATTTTTATTTTATATTTTTTAAAATATAATGATTTTTTCAAAGATAAAAGGAAATTAAATGAACCAATGCTTTTGTCGTAATACAATCAAATTAATTTTTTTTCGCATGATAAAAAACTAATATTTTTTTTATTGTGCAGATTTTTTAAACATGTACATTTTTTACAAATATGTTAGATTGATGTCTTTCAAAAGAATTTACTTTTTTTTTCATCAATCATTTATTGAAATAAAAAAAATACTTGATTCATCTGTATAAATAAAAAACTAAAGAAAAAAGTTTATTCAGAACTAAAAGTAAACCTATATGAATGTTTTGAGAAAAAAGAAAAAAGAAAAAGAAGAAGAAGCAGATCTAATGAAAAAAAGATATCTTTGCATGTCCTTGTAAATAAATTGAATTATTTACAAATTATTTGAGTTCGTCTTGTTAACTATTTAAATAATTTTGAAAGATCAAATTTTTGTTTTTGAAGCAAAACGGCCATCTTCAATCATTGCGCTTTTCATAAAAAAAAAAAGAGAGTAAATGAATTAGCAGGTGAATTGATGTGAATTTAGTTATAAATATGAATATATAAAAATTCAAAATCCATCAATAGCATCGTAGTTTTATGATAAATAATTTATAATTTACTATTAAAATAGTTAAAAAAAATATAATACGTTCTCCAATTATTAGGAATTTTCATAATCGACAAAAAAAGAAATGAATGTGGTGAGAAACTCGTAAAAGTAGAATTATTAACACGAAAAGAAAAGAAAAAAATGAGAAAGAAAAGGAAAAAAAAAAAAAGATTGGGATGGCAAAAATGTAAATAAATAGCATAAATGGGGGAAAGAGGAAGAGAAGGATGCGTAGCAATCAGTGGTGCGTAGAGGAAAAGCTATCAAACCCTATAAATAAGGTTGAGTGGATAAGAATTAGTTAATTGGTAATTAATTAATAATAAATTAACAGCAATAATAGCACAACTAAGAATAATATTTGAGGTAGTTGCGCCACGTGTCCTACCGAAAGTTTTTGGTGATGGCTTTGAAGAAGAGTGTGTGTGACACTGTGAACGTGCCAATAGAGTTGAGAGAGAGAAAGCATGAAATTTTGTAGTTGGATTTGGTTCTGGAGTTGGGTTTAGAATCTTGTGTGGGATTGGGAGAGTGTGTGTGAGAGAGGTATGTACGTAGCTTCCATGGGAAGGTCTTTCAAGGACTCTTTGAAACTGCTTGAAGCTGATATTCACCATGCCAATACCCTGTCAGTTTCTCTCTCTTTTTTTTTTCTTTCATTTTCAAAATTCCGCACCCCTTTTAGAACAATCTGTTATTGTGATCAAGTTTGTATTTTTGTTTCTATATGGTAGACTCAGACAACCTTCATTTTTTTTCCTGAAAAAATGAACTTTTTTTTTAATTGGATCATGATCACAAATGAAGTTTATTTTGGTCTAGGGAATGATTCTCTGGGGTTTAGCCTCTGATTTTTGCTTTCCTCCTCAGTCAACCATAAGTTTTCCTTCACAAACATGGTGCATTTAATTTTGCTGCAAATACGTGGTAACGTGGTTCAAGTTACTTTCAATTTTTTTTAGTCTCCACTTGTGGAAAATTTTGTACTTCAGAAACGCGGACCTTACAAACAGTGAAACCTTTGAAGGAGTTCTTCATCTGACTTCCATCTCATGTTTTGTTTGCTTACTAGTGACGTATTATGTTCACGTCTAACTTCTGGTTTTTAAGTTTGTAAATGCTGTATTTTACTGTTTCGTCGTGTATCTTGTGCCCAAAACTTTGAAAATTTGGGCTTTGGTTATGTTGAATTTATGTGATTACGAGGTGAAATGTTTGTTATTGCTTTCACAGTTTCATTTATTTTCTTGTTTGTGTCTGTAGTGACAATATTTGTCTCCTATCATGATATTTGTGACATCGTAACCTTTGGCGGGGGTTGAACGGTCCCTTGAGTGATTTGGTTGACTAGCAAATAGTGCATGATTATTTTTTATGCGAAATTATTTTTTCCTCATATCTGATATGCAGTTCATTATCTTTTTCCGCTACAGTGCCATGCTTCCTATCTGTTTGTGTTTGTGTTTGTGTCTGTTTCTTTTTCTTTTTTGGTTCAATATTTTGAAGTTTGTTTTGTTTGTGATTTGCCTGTAGAGAAACTTGTCTAGGGAAGTTACAGATACCATACTTGAATTCTGAATGATGTTCACTGGAAGGTTGCCTTTTTTTTTCTTGTCGCCAGCCATTCTTCTTGCTTATGTATATTGCTTTATATGCAATTGGGTGTGTAGGGCATCAGATTTTCCAAGGGAATATGACGGTGCGTGCCTTCAGATGAGAATGTCATACAGTATGGCAGCACACCTGTTTCTCTTTTTGGTGCAATGGACAGATTGCAATCTTGCCGGAGCCCTAGGACTGTTAAGAATCCTAATATACAAGGTAAGGTCTAAGGTGTTGTGGGTTTTGGATGTTCATGTTAAACTGAGAAATTTGATCAAGGTGACAACTGACAAATTTTCCTCACGCTTCAGGTGTATGTGGATGGGACAACTACCATGTCTACCCATGAAAGAAAAGCAAGTATTAGAGAATTTTATGGTATATTTTATATTTTTTCATGTAATAATTGACAAGTTCATTTGCATTTAGTCTATATGGATTGATGATGTACTGAATTTCTGCATTGATCAGCGGTCATATATCCATCTTTGTTGCAACTGCAAAAAGGTGTAACTGATACAGAGGACAAAAAACAGAAGGCTGTATGCTTGGAGAGATTTCGTAAAAGAGATGAAGAGGAGCACAGACAGCCTTCAGACATAGACATTGAAAGAGAAGAAGAATGTGGAATATGCATGGAGATGAACAGTAAGATTGTGTTACCTGACTGCAACCATGCCATGTGTCTGAAATGTTACCACGAATGGTACTTTCTCTCGCTGATGCTCACATTTCCTTGTTTATGGTCATGAATTGTTCATGTTAAGAAGTATGAAGTTGTGAGGTTGTTTCTTCTACTTCTATGGGAAAATGTTTCATGGATGCTTTTATTTGGTTCTTTTAATTTCATGCCATATAATTGGAATTGTATAGCATAAAGTGTCACTTCTGTAAACTGTACTCTGTTGAACCTGCTTGGGTTTTTTTGGATTTGCTGAGTTTGCTTGGACCGTAATTGTTTGACTTTGCTAAGATGATTTCTGCCTTGGCCAACTTTGCAAGTGGTTAATAGAATATTAGCTGCTGCATAATTTCCTTCAGATTGAGTTGACATGTGCATAATGTCCTTCAGATTTAGTTGACATGTGTAAGGGTCGTCATTTGGTGAATATCTGTCTGAAACCGAATGTGAGATTTTTCATCTCATACAGCTCCTCTCTTTTGTGTAATGATAAACATACATAGAATAAAAAAGATCAGTATTCTCATTATCTACTGAACAAAGCTTGTGTTTTTACAATAAATCTCTAGCCAACCTTCCTGTAAAATTTCTTTCTTTTATTAACTCCACTTGTGGAAATACAACAAATCTATAGAATCAGTCTCACCACAAGTGACCTGGTTTTAGAATTCTGAGTCTGAGGATATGATGCCATAATAGGCACCAGATGCACTTGTGCGTGTTTGTGTATAGGTATGGGTACTCAATTCTCATTATCCTGTCATTGCTCTTAATATAAATATTCAATTAAAAGTAGCTAACATGAGAAAGAATTAAAGAGACTATATGGAGTTGTGAAAGGTGGTTATTTTCTATATTCCTAGATTCTTAATTTATGATGTATTGATGTTACAGAAGTGATTTATTTTAACTGATACTGATACTATTGTAGTAAACTTGAATTTGTATTTCTGGTGTGTACATACCCTCAAAGCACTTGTCAAGACAGAAGTTATTGCATAGAAACTTGAAACAGAGGGAAGTGCATGAAACTTAGGTTGAGATAGCATGATCATGTCGAATTTAGGGGGAGATAGAAGATAGAGTTGCTAAAACTAGAAGATAACTTTTCAGTGAGATTTTAGAGAATCAAAATGGTTCTTAGAGAATGCCAAGAGTAACTGAATGAGACATCCTCTGAATACTAAATGCATTCTAACATATGATGCATGTACTGCACTCAATTCTAACAGATTGAGTTTAGATAAATTTTATTTTAGTTTTCATGTATTAAAGTACACGTTTTAGGGAGCCATGCAAGACTTAGCTTGATGTGGTCTAATATATGTATGGCTTTCACCTTGCGGTTTAGGGATATTTTGTATTTTTTATTGGGTGTGAGGGCATACTTGTGAAACCTTTTATGTTGTGTGTTAAGACCAAGTCAGAGCAACAACCTTTAAGGTAAAAGGGTCCAAAGGTGTCTTATAGGAGAAAAAAGAAGGGTAACAGTTGAGGTTAGGAGAGTTAGTTAGTTCAGTTTTCCCAATAAATAAACCCCCTTGGTAGAGAGGGGATTTTTGAAAATCTTGTTGTAAAACTGGACAGATTCCAGTGGAAAGGAGTAATATTCATCGGAGGGGTATTTGGATACCTTGGTTCTTAGATAGTGATGAGTTTTCAATAATAAAGAGAGGAAATTCAGAATCTTTTTCTGTGTGTCCTGTTGTTTCTTGTAGACTTTAACGTTTTCAATTCTGAAAAGACGTCCTAGCTTTGTGGTAACTTGATTGTTTCACATGAGCCTTTTCTGGGTTGAAGTAAATTCATTGCATTCTTTATATGGATTATATTCGTTCCTGGTACATCTAGGAATCTGGTTTAGTGTTTGGGAGAACTCCAAAATGAGTTCAGTCACGAGGTATTTTATTTGCTATTGAAAAAAGTGCACAGGGGAGTCTTATGCCCCAGTTGAAGCCAATCTAATCTACAACAAACAAGCAGTATATTATTGGTTTTGAACTCTGGTTTAGTGACTATCACTACTCTCCCACCTTATGGTGAACTCTTTCATTGCAAGAAAGAAGGAAGCATCACGTGTTACACACCCGAAGACTGATTTTATTGATTTGATGAAATTGAACCAGAAATAGGAGAAAGAGTTCTCCTTCTCCTCCAAGGATTTCTCCTCTCAAAAATTAGTTCTAGTGTAAATATCCTCCACATGTTTTTATTTACTTGTCATACGGACCCCCTTTAACTCTCCCTTCCCTCTCTCCTAACCCTTAATATAAAAACTCTTGGAGAAATGAAATAACTTTTATACCGTACTATAATGATATTTCAGTGATAAAAAAAAAGAATATTGCGTTGCTAGTTTCATGTGGAACTATTATAGGATATATCCAACCTGATTAAATTTATTAGAGATCTTGGCTGGAGAGAGTAGAAAGAAAAAATTTATAATTTAATTATTACTTCCGAGACTCAAGGCACAAAATAATCTTAGATAATCCAGCATTCTCTTTGTATTCTGTGAGCTTGTCAAGCATAAACATTGGCCTTGAAGTTTATTTGTTGGTCATCGCTTCAATTGAAATTTAATGATTTAATTTGTTGGACTATGAAGCCAACTATTGTTCCTTGGGTACTAGCTTGAATAATTATAGAAAAGATATGCCAAAGTGAATTGCCTAGTCAGGGTGGTTATGTATCATAAACTTCGAACTTCTGTTTAGTGTTGTTTGTCTTGATAGAATACTCATTGTTTCACTTGTAAGATATATTACATCTCTGACTGGATGGAATCATGATGCATTGAGAATCTGTGCTTGGTGATAATTTAATGGCCAGCAGGCAATCAGCCATTCTGCTGTTAACTGGTTATGTTAGGCTAAGCAACTCAAAACCAATTAGTCTTTTCAAAAGAAGATTATAACAACTTCAATCTAGCGATGTTTAGGTCATGTGTGGTTCTTACCAACCTCTTTCAAAAATTTTGGTGCGACATGACTTTCTCTGATTAGTAGAAGTACATGAACTTTTACTTTACATAATTGTACCTGTCAGTATATGCTTTGCTTGAAGTGTTCTCTTGTTCAGTTCAAAACTACATCATTATAATTTGCGATGTTTTGCAGGAGAACAAGATCACAGTCATGCCCCTTTTGCCGCGACAGTCTCAAGAGAGTAAACTCAGGTGATCTCTGGGTGTTTACTGATGGTAGGGATGTTGTAGACATGACAACATTGACAAGGGAGAATCTTAGAAGGCTTTTCACGTACATAGATAAGTTGCCTTTGATCATTCCGGACTCTTTTTTTGACACATATGACTCTCATCTAAGATGATTGATTGTACTTTAGTGCCTGGTGTGGTCTTGGAGGGGCAGTTTCTTTCAATTTAGTTACATAAACTCCGAATATCATTCGGTAAATCTAGTTTTATATAGAGTAGCAGTGTTGCTTCCCTCGTCTCGCAAAAAAGTATCCAACCCTTTGTGTACTGAGTTGGTGGTGAAGGTGAGTATGTATGTAGCTCATTTGTATATCCTGTACAGATTGAATTACTTATTAAGAGGAGCTTTTCCATATTCTGTGCCTCACAGAGTACATTTCCATGGATCCCATCTAATTCCTGTTTAGTGAAATGGAGCAAAATGAATTTCAATCTCGTGTTTCCAATCCTCTTCACAAGTAGTGTACGAATGCGTACTTTTTAACACACTCATTCAACCATTAATTACATTTTGTTAGCAACTATGAAACCGTGAGAGAAAGTCATGTCAAATCCACATATTTTGTAATTTTCAGAAGGTGTCAACTAATAAATTCACGAGTTTGTTAAAACGAAGTGTGTTCAAAACACAAGAAATTTCCGATAAATTTCATCCCTAGTACTGTTCTGATTCATAGTAGCAGCAAGTAGTTCATATGCTATTGGAAATATAAAAATTAGAATATATCGTGATCTGTTGGACAATTGTTCGTTTGTTATTGAAGCAAGCTAGAACCACAATTTCCAGATATTCTACCAGTTTTGGACAAGTGTTATGGTAAATATAGATATTAATATGAAGGCAAAATATTCTTAGCATATAACCTATCGTGAATAAGAGATTGATAAACTGAAAAAAGAGAGAGAGAGTAAAACATATTAGATACTACCAACCCAATATAGCAAGAGTAATCATTATAATGGAAGTGGATCAAAATGTATAGCATTATGTAAAAAATTTCAAATTTTTTATTCTCATTTTTTTATATTACTTTTAATCCGATCAAAGAATTACAAAGGAATTATTTGATTTCATTTCTTCCTAATTTTATTTTTACTTTAGTGCAACCCAATTCCTATTTTTTATTTGTTTGCATGTTTATTTTCTCCCTATTTTGATTCCAACCTAAACATAGATACTGGTGGTGATAGTATTCGTGTATCTCATTTATAGAAGACACTAAAATTTAAGGTCCGATGAACTGGTTTCTTCAAAAAGTTTTGTTTTTACTGAAAAAAACTAAGCATCATGGTAAGGTGTGTCAATAATATTTTAAAGTAAAAATAGATATGATTGAAAAGTAAACATAGTATTCAATTAACAAAATACATCTTTTAATATATAAAGGAAATATTTGTGTACGATAACATCATATTCAAGCTCTGTTAATAAAAAATATAATCAAGAAAAAAAAACATTAAATTTCATCGTACCAAATTATTCAAATTAATATTTTGTTCCTATTTTTCATAGTTATAAAAAAATGTTTATTTTATGTATATTGCATATATGTTTATGATAATTAAATTTGGATCCTCTCCTATTTATTGTTAACATTAGAGGTCATGTTTAATAAATTCTAAGTTTTAATACGTAGTGTATGAGTAAAATAAACATCAACTAAGACAATGAAAAGCATAAAAGAACATTGGTTAGTAACAAAGCAAGTTTTTTATTTGAATGTGGTTTTGATTTTGACAATATATTAAATGATAGAAATGATTAATGATTAAGGTTTATTAAATAAACTAATCAGAATTCAAACCCATGGTAATTACAGCCGTTGCAGAAGGGTGGAAGGCATGATGAGCAATATGTGGCATAAATTTTTAATTTTTCAATGGTGGAAAAACGTCATGAACTAAAAAGACAATACATGGAAACAGCTGAGAGGGAGAGTGAAAAGAAGAACGGTTGCAAGAAAGAGAGGAATAACAGCCCACAAGATTAACAAAAGGTTAATTGCAAAAATAGATTTGTTTAATTGGCTACGTGCATTACATCCAATCCAGGGCAGTACTCTAAATTTCCAGCCTGTAATGTCGGGGCAAACAAATGGTTCTGTTTGTTCCCTCTATTCTTAGCCATTTTCCAATTTCATTCCCATTCTTCGTATAAAATATATATGCATTGTTCTTCCTTCAAATGTGAGAGAGAGATATCACACACAGAAAAGGAGAGAGAGAGAGGGTAAAAAAAAAAATGGGTAAAGGAGAAGATCAAGAAGGTGTCGTAGCCGGGGGCTTCTTCTGGTCCTACACCGACGAACCCCATGCCTCACGACGTCGTCAGATCCTCTCCAAATACCCTCAAATCAAGCAACTCTTTGGCCCTGACCACTCCTCTTTCTTCAAGGTTTCGTCTTTTCCCATCTTTCATTCAAATCTCGCTCTTTTATCTTCTGGGTTCCTTCCCATTCCCTCAATGCTGTTGTTGTATGTGCTTTTGGCTTCTGGGTTGTCGTCATTCTTATTCTTCAATGCTTGCATTATCTGTTGTTTGCTTTCTTCTTTTCCATTTTTTTCCAATTTCATGTTTTGCCTATCTTTTTGTCTGTTGGCATTGCCTGTGTGGCCGGCAGTTTGAACACTTTTTGTCATTTCTCCATTCCGACATATTTTCGATTGGTTTGACAATGTGTGCGTCTGAAACTGAGCCTCTGCTAAATGTAAATATACATTGATGTGATAGCTAGATGAATATGTAACACTTAGATCTCTTGAGAAAATTCATGTTGCACAAATTTTTCATATTTAAAAAAAAAAACATGAATTTGATATCTATGCAGTGTAAATTTACATTGTCAACTAATCTGAAATCTTGATGGGTCTGACTTTTAAGACAGTTAATGTAAAATTCCACACACTTATCATATACTACAACTTTTGATTATATTGCGATGTAAACTCTTTAGACTGTTATATGCATAGACAAATTATTATGAGAAATGGTTGTGAAATTACTCTATTATTAAGTGGTATTTCTTCAAAGATGTGTACAGGATATTAGATTAGGATCTGGATTTGAAACATGGTAGGGTGTGTATTAACAGTGTTCGAAACTTGTGTTGTTGCAGATCACTGGAGTTGTTTTGCTTCAGCTTGCGACTGCCGCTTTACTACGAGATGCTGGCTGGCTGAAGATATGTTTAGTAGCTTATTTTTTTGGCTCATTTCTCAATCACAATCTCTTTTTGGCTATCCATGAGTTGAGTCACAACCTGGCCTTCTCAACTCCATCCCTCAACCGTTGGTTAGGGATTTTTGCCAACCTCCCTATTGGTGTGCCCATGTCTGTTACATTCCAGAAGTATCACTTGGAGCACCACCGCTTCCAAGGTGTAGATGGAATTGACATGGATGTCCCTAGTCTTACTGAAGTTCGTCTTGTGACAAATGTTTTTGCAAAAACCATTTGGGTCTTTTTACAGCTATTCTTTTATGCACTTAGACCTCTCTTTCTTAAGCCAAAGCCTCCTGGCTGTTGGGAATTCATCAACTTCTCTGTTCAGATTGGACTTGATGTTTCAATGGTTTACTTTTTTGGCTGGAAATCACTTGCCTATTTGATACTTTCTACATTTCTTGGTGGTGGTATGCATCCAATGGCTGGCCACTTCATTTCAGAGCATTATCTATTCAATCCTGAGCAGGAGACATATTCTTACTATGGACCTCTGAATTATCTCACTTGGCATGTGGGCTACCACAATGAACACCATGATTTCCCCAGAATTCCTGGAAATAAGCTTCACCTGGTGAAGGAGATTGCTCCAGAGTTTTATGACAGCTTATCATGCTATAGATCTTGGAGCCAGGTCATTTACATGTACATTATGGATCGAACTGTTGGACCTTTTAGCCGAATCAAGAGAAAGTCTAGTAAGGCAGAATAGATGTTTTGGTGTACACATCACTCATCCCCTCCCTCTTTGTGATGTCTCAACTTTTGACAATTTTCTGTGCAACAGAAGAAGAATATAATGTAGTTTTTGACCCAAATAGCAACTCATTTGTTCATTAGCTGACAATTGTGCAAAATATATTATTTTTTTGGGATTTCCTCCTTCAATTCTTATGCACTTGTGTTCTTCCTCCTGCTCTCTCTTTCTCACTCACATGCTACAAATTGTTCACGATGAATAATGCCTCTGAACTAGTCACGTTATAGCAAATTAACAAGTGATTTTTTTTGTTTCCCATGAGATTAATGAGTTAATGGTTTTTGGTCAACAGAGCTAAGATTTTTTTTTTTTTTAACGTCTTCAACAGAGTTCAAATCTCCACCCAAGATTGGTTATCTTTGTAAAATGATGAAAAAAAAACTTTTTAAAACTCTTTCCTTTAACTATGATTTTTAATTTACCTACTAGAAACATTTAGTGTTACTTATTATTATTTAGTTTTTAAAATTTAATTAATTATATGTTAAATATATTTTAAATAAATTATAATTTATGGTTTATGTACAACCGAAAAAAGTACTGCGAGATCTGTTACTCTGTTGAGAGATTTTATATCTTAAATAAAATAGAGGAACCCACACAAAAAAGTGAAATAAGACTTTAAAATATTGTATTAGAGGTGCTATTAATTTAGCAATAAATTTTTTATTACGTCAAAATTTATTGAAAACTACAAATATTGAATGAAATTTATTAACATGAGAAAAACTGCATTAATTTGTGAACTTCAACAAGTTTTAACTAATAAAGTGTTATAGAAACACATTAAGAGCTTTATGCAATGAATTTTCGTGTTGGGTCCTCTGGTAAGTCCAGAAAGATAGCCAAGATCGTATAAAAGGTAGCCAAAGAAACAACAAATAAACTTTTGATTTCTACCATCATAGACACCAACGGAAAAGAACTTTTTGCTGAATAATATTTAGCTTCCAAAATCGATTATTGGTAATAGATAATGTTAAAAGATAAAACTATTTTACAAGGTTTAAAAAGTTAATATATATTAGTGTGAAACACTAACAACGGTGTTGCTGTGGTGTAGTGGTTATCACGTTAGTCTTACACATTAAAGGTCCCCAGTTCGATCCTGGGCAGCAACAATTAATTTTAAAGATGATTTTTTTATTGTTTACTTCTTTGTTTGAAAAAGCTCTTTTCAAATTGTTTAAACATTGTTCATATTGCCTTTCTCTCCAAATTCTGTCATAGTTATTTTGGTATGTAAACAGAGTTCAAGCTCAATTACCAAATGCTAGAAAATAACCTATAAAAATTTATTCTAAGTTCCAACTTTTGCAGCGAGTTATCATAGTAAGATGATTATGGGAAGTAAATTTCGTGATTCAAATTGTGTTAGTGAAGAATGTATTCATTCCGTAGCAACTATGGAAATTGCTTGTCTTGTGATAAAAAATGTAATTATGCCACTATGAAATGTTTAGGGTATTGAAATGTGAGTGCAATGTAGGATGAATGTGAGGTAGAACTAGTGTAATATATATATGTATATTATTCCACGTAGCATGATACTTGAAAGACGATTTAGCAATAAAAGATTGGTGTTTAGCGTAGTAATATAAGAGAAATGATCTGAATTGCTTCCATCCAAGGTACAAGGATGAATGTAAAAAATGTAAAAGAATGGTTAACATGTTTTATGTGTATTTGGTAAAACTAAGGTTGTTTATCAGTTTTCACTATGCAGAAGTGCCAGGTACGTCCTCAGGTAGGTCAAGCGGTTCTACGGGTGGTGGCTTCGGCTTCTGAACTGGGGGAGGCTTTGGACGGCCGGCAGGAGTAACTTGGTCAACTGTCTCTTTCTCCACGTTAAACTACAACAATAACATAATATTATATTCATTACATGTGCTTAATGGAATCTTGAAAAAAAAATGATAAATTGAAGGGGCTACACATAACAATTTAATCAAAATATAGGTTCTTCAAATCAAACTGACCTTATAACCGCAACCAGACACACAAGCATGGAAACATTCCTGTATCAGAAGAATAAACAATAATTAATCCGTAAACAAAACTATATATTCAATAACTATTTCTAAGCCATTAAGAACCACGAGTGTGTTCCAAGGGGGTAGATTTAAAATTTCCATCAAAATAATGAGAGTTGTGAGAGGAGAAACCATGAAATGAAAGGAGAACTTTGTTAGAATGACCAAACCAGCAATGAACTACGTTGCATGTTGCCAAGTAGTAGAATGATAAGTTGGGAAATAAAACTGAAAAAGAAGCATGGTATGGGAGAAAAAAATACCACTGAATAACCGGCAGCACCCGGAGAACGATCAATATAAGCAGTCCAAGGGTGGTTTTTTAGGACGGGGTCCTTGTAACACAGCAAATTGCAATCTGCCAAACCTGTTTACAAATAATCTATCATTGATAATCAACAAAATCAAAGGTGGGAACGGTTACGAGGCCATTAGAGAGCACTGCATAATAGATAGACATGATACCTTCACCATCATGCAGGGTCATTGATAATAGAACTAGCTTTCAAGTACCCAACATACCCAATACATGATACTTTTACAACTCACCAAATGGAGTACCCACACACAGTTCATAGCTTTTATGCCCTGCTTCTTACGAGTACTTAATGCTTCTGGGATTTAATAGAGCATGGTTGGAAAACCGCTGGGATTTAATAGAGTAATTAAACGTCCATCACACATCCCAAGACACTAAACATAAAAGCAAGATTTTGCTTCTGGGTAACCTAATAATTATATCTTTCTTCTCTCCAAAAGATGCCAAAAAAAAAAGAAAAAGATTGATATGAACTTAAGGATAAAAATAATGATTCTCCAAAACCTGAAATTTTGCCAAGTACAGTATTCCGCTCAAGAATTGTTAAAGAGAAAGAGCTAATGACAATTTCGAATGGAAGTGCAATTTGAGCAATGAAAGCAACAAGCCATCACGTCACTTTCAGAGATCCAATGGTATATTAAGCAGCGATAATGCAAAAACATAGAGACACAGATAACCTAGATTTTAAAGGAATAATAACATATTTGAACGAATAAAAAATAGAGATAACCTAGATTTTGAAGGAATAATAACATATTTGAACGGATAAGAAAAGAAAAACAAAAAAAATGATCTTACATTTCTCCCATGTCTCTCCCTCTGAATTGCATCCCTTCTTGCAGAAAATTCGCCCTACGATAACATAACCAAAACAATGGTTTATGCTATGTAAGTGAATAAAGAAAGGAAGGGAAGAAATTGAAGATCGAAACTACATGGAATTTGGGCGAATGCAGAATATTTTTTGTTGCATTGAGTTCCACATGGACACAGCCATTGTTCCGGTAACATCTTCCTCATCTATTCCATTCTCTACCCAAGCAAAATAAAAAAAGAAAAATTATATCTAAAATTTCCTTTACATCAAACATCTATTTATATAATGATAATAGTACAATTTTTTAATTTTTATATTATTTATGTTTATTATTATATTATATTATTAAATAGAGTTATAAAATACATTTATACAAAATTTTAATTGTGTGTATATATCCTTAAAACAATACAAAACAAATGACATCCCATTTGTTTGGGTAATCAAATTTAATCTTATCAAGAACTGGTAATAAATTATATAAAATTTGATTAACCAATTTATTAACTATAGCAATTTTAATATTATTTATATTTAATTGTAGAGGTGAAAAAAAAAATAGAAATTATAATTAAGTTGTATTTTATAAGTATATTTAATATAATAATATAATATATAAAACATTTTATAATATATTACTTATTGTATTTGAAAATTAGATAAAATACGGAAAACTGGGAGGATTTAAAAAAAAATCAAAATTTTTTAAACTTTTTGTAAAAATAATTGTTTTTATAAAAATATGTTTTTATTTTATTTTACATTTTTATATTTAAATAAAAATTATTTTATTATATTTTTATTTTATCTTATAACTATTATTTTTAAAATTTTTAATTATAATTTATGATAATTATAATAAAAACTTTTGTTATATTTGTAATTATTTATTTTTCTTTTATAAGAATGTGTTATTATTAATAAATTTATTACATTATTAAAAAATTTATTTTATCAAATCTAATTAGGTTTATTAAATTTAATTAAACTTTTAAATATAAATTCATCGCTACTCTAATTTTAAAAATATTGTTTATAAAGTTAATTATTTACTATCTAACATGTATTCTATTCTCATGGGTTGAAGTGTGTATGTGGGGTGTTAATGGACTTTATGTTATTATTATATCAAATAATTTACTTTGTCATGTTAGTGAGTTTAACAAATGGGAAAATAATATTTTATAATTATTGAGTTAAAAAATGTCTTTCTTATTTTCACTAGAAAAAAAAAACATAACAAATAAAAGATAAACTTTGCAAAATTTAAATTAAGAAATAAGTAAGTGTAAAATATTAGTATTGAGTAACAGTTATAAATAATACAGTGAAGTGCTTATTTGATTTTACATTAACATGTTATGACAATTTTTTAAAATAATTCATACTAAATTTTATTTTAATAGATACTTTTTTTATAAATATTCATATTTTTATAATTTTTATTTATATTTATAATTTAAAAGTGAATAAATTATTATAATTATTTTAATCTAATATAATATTTTGAATTTAAAAAATTAATATATTTATTTTAATAGATTTTCATTGTGTTATAATATTTAATAGATTTTTGGTAGAATTTGACTTATTTATTCAATTCATTCAAACTAGGATAAAATATAATACACAAACAAGGAACTACATGATCATATCATGCACATAAGGGATAATGTTGCTCAACTAAAAGTCCTGGATATTATTATCCATGTTTGATTTATTTCTAGTACATTATATTTTATGTACTTTACCTAATCAAGTATACTCTATTTAAAATATCTTACAATACATATAAAGATAAGTGATCTATTAATGAATTGTTAATCATGTGTGTACAAGAAGAGAAGATATTGTTAATGGAAGATGGTGAAATAGTAAACTTGACTACTTCTATCAAGAAAAAGAAGAATCAAGTTAACCAAAAGGAAAATATTTTTACTCAACCAATTATAAAGAAAGAGTCCAAGTGTTTCTTGTGTAAAAAGAAAGGACACACACTACTAGAAAAATGTCAAATAGTAACCGAAATCAGTGACCGAAAAATTTAGTTACTATCAGTGACCGAATCAGTAACCAAATTATTATTTTTTAGTCTAGTAATCAGAAATAGTAACCGAATTTTCGGTCACATAAAATCGGTTACTATTTCAGTCATTTTATTATTTAATTTATTTTTTTAATTAATCTATATTTAATTTATGTAATTATTTTTGTTTTTCCGTGATAATTTTTTATTTTTTTCGCGTCTGTAGGATCAGACCTAGGTACGAAAATTTCATCTTCGCGCCCCAAATTTTCTTCATCTTCTTCGCGTATTTCTTCATCTTCTTCATCTTCTTCGTGCATTAACCGACATTTTTATTCCTGGGCTGCACTAAGCGGATCGAGAGGTTGTTCAGCCCTTGTCCCCAAATATGGGTAATATGTTAGCAAAAATTATTGCTCAAATCGACCTAGTTGGCGAGCGATCCTAGTTCGCAGCAGAGAACAAGACAGGCAAGCGAGCATACTTGTTCGAGCTTAACCTAGACCTTTCATTTGTCCATCCCCAAGCGAATTCCAAACTCAACCCTGACCTCAACCTCGACGAACTCGACGAACTTGAGGCCCAAACCCATCTCCGCGAGCATCGAACCCTAATCCGAAGCCAAACTCCAGTCGTCGTGCGGTCAAACCCAACGCAAACCCAGTGACCTCGAACCCTAACCCAAACCTCAACCACCTTGAATCCAAGCGACCTGCAACTGTGGCGACAATAAACACTTTACAAAAAATCTTCTAAGTTGATTTAATCGATTGTTTCGCGATTCAATCGATTGAAATATTGCAAAACTTTCTTGTAAAACTTTTCAAGTTATTTTAAGCGATAAAAATAAGTTTTAATCGATTAAAACGTTGTGCAGAAATTGTTTGAATCGATTGAAACCAGAATTAATCAATTAAAAGAGTTCTGATCGGTCATAATTGCATTCGATCGATCATAATTGAAACGATATAATAGCGGTTCCAGGTTAACCGCTATCTAAAATGTACTTCGCTCGAGCGACGATCTTCCCGCTCGAGCGAAACGCCCTGCACAAAATTGGCATTCTCGGGTTGTATTTCGCTTGAGCGACTCTATTTTCGCTCGAGCGATGGTGCAACCGCTATTAGAAGTTCTCTTTTAAGAGCGGTTCCAGTGAAACCGCTATCATATAAAACGCTGTGTAGAAATTTTTAAGCTGATAAAAATAAGTTTTAATCGATTAAAGCGTTGTGCAGAAATTGTTTTAATCGATTGAAACGAGATTTAATCGATTAAAGCGATTCGATCGGTCATAACTCGCATTCGATCGATCATAATTGAAGCGATATAATAAGCGGTTCCAGGTTAACCGCTATCTAAGTGAGCTTTTAAGAGCGGTTCTGTGTAACCGCTATCTTAAATGTATTTACGCTTGAGCGGCACTCTTCTCGCTCGAGCGAAACGCCTGCACAAAATTGGCATTCTCGGGTTGTATTTCAGCTTGAGCGACTCTAGTCTCGCTCGAGCGATATTTGATTCTAATCGATTAGATTTTTGAAATGATCGATCATATTTGATAATTTTTTTCAAATAATTAATTATAATCGATTAGTTTTCTAAATTATTCATTAGAATTGATTAGTTTTTCAAATAATAGATTAGAATTGATTAATTTCAAAATATATACTAAAAAATTATAATTAAAAATATAAATTAGTTAAGAATATTGATTATTGTAAAGATAAAGTAGAACATGGGAGGAGATGAGGATGATAATATAATGATAGAACTTACAAAAATGTAGAATTGAGAAGTTTGAAACAAATAAAATTAAGAAAATAGATATTTAATTACACTTTTAATAAATTTAAGATAATACTAGTTTTGATTTTTATTTTTAAATATTTATTTTAATTATTTAAAACAGAGAAACTATCATTTTAGTTTCTAGCTACTTGAATTTAAAGAATTAAATTTATTATTATTTAATCTTTTAATTTGTAGAATTAAACTCAATATAATTGTTAAAAATACTTTGTAGAGGCATTTGAGAAAGCTTTTGTCAAAATACTTTGTTTTTAATTGTTAAAAACATTTGTAGAGGCAAATTGCAAAATCTTTTAAGTGAAGAAACCTCATGCAACATAAATCTTTTAATTTTAGTATTAAAAATTTAAATTATAATTTATTAAATTAAAATAGTTACAATATATTTTTTACTTTGAGAATGAACAATATAATTAAACTCAAAATTGACAATATTATAATACATTTTTGAACTCTTTTGGATTAATTTTTTTTCCTAATTTTTGATAAAGTTAATTTTAATATTTAAAAGTATTTAACATTTTGAATTCTGAAAGGTTTTCTCTAATAGCAAATTTAAAAACATAATATTCAAAAAAATAGTTAATGTAAGTTTTCATTATGCATAATTGAGAAGATATGATAGCGGTTCCACGTTAACCGCTATCTAAAGTATAATTTAGATAGCGGTTAATGGTTAACTGCTATTAGAAGTGCAATTTTAAGAGCGGTTCTTGTGGAACCGCTATCTAAAATGTATTTCGCTTGAGCGACAATATTCTCGCTCGAGCGAAACGCCCTCGCACAAAATTGGCATTCTCGGGTTGTATTTCGCTTGAGCGACACTACTCTCGCTCGAGCGAAATACGATTCGATCGATCATAACTTGAAATGATCGATCATAATTGAGAGGATATAATAGCGGTTTCCTTATAACCGCTTATCCGAAGTGTATATTAGATAGCGGTTAAGGCTTATACGATATCTGAAGTGTATTTCAGCTTGAGCGAGACTACTCTCACTTAAGCGAAATCCAATTCGATCGATTATATTTTCAAAATGATCGATCATATTTGATAATTTTTTCAAATAATTAATTATAATCGATTAGTTTTCTAAATTATTGATTAGAATTGATTAGTTTTTCAAATAATAGATTAGAATTGATTAATTTCTGAAAT